GAGGGGCGCCGGGTCTCACTCTTGTGCCGGCCGCCGGCCCAGGAGGGTTTGTGGACGCTGGGGCTCCGCAGCAGGGCACGACCCGCCGACTTCAGCGCGTCCATCCCGGCGCCTCCCGGCCCGGCCCCGCCGCAAACTTTCCTGCGGCGCCAGCGCTGACCGCGTCCGGGGGCGGGGCACATGCAAATTTAGGGGGCGTTGCGTCATGCTTGACCACGCCCCCCCTGTGCCACGCCCTCGTCCCAAAATCGGCGCGGGCGGCCCGTGGGGTCCCAGAGGGATGTGCGACCCCCCGATCTTGCCGGGATGCTGAGACTCCTCACACACCCTCTGCTTCCCCCCCGGGATTGCTCCCACGGGAGCTTCCCCCACTGGAGACCCCCGCCCCGAGCCCCCACAGGGCCGCCCTGCAAACATCTATGTCCCAGCTCCACGGGGATCGCCTTCAGCCGGCATCGCCACGGTTATAAATATATAAATAAATATATCACACCGTGCTCCGTCACTTCTGCACAGCCCTGCTGCTCCTTCCCGCTGGTTCCTCCGCTGCAATTCCACCTTTCCCGGGGGGATCCCACCTTCCCCACTCAAATTCCATCACCAGCGGCTAAATATATCACACCGTGCTCAGCGACCTCTGCACTCGCACAGCCCTGCTGCTCCTTCCCGCTGGCTCCTCTGCAGCAGCTCCACCTTTCCCACTCAAATTCGGGGCAGGAAACCCCTACGACCCAAATCGTCCCAGTTCAGCATGCTCAGTTTGCTGAACACCAAAAAAAAAAAAGTTACGTTTTCCCCATGAGGTGTTTGATTGTCCCCGTCCCGGGATGAGGAAATGCGATAGGATATTTTAATATCCCGTTTGATCAACTCTGGCCTGAGCACACGCCAACCCCTCCGTGTCACCACGGCCACCAGTGTGCTCTAAACTCCGCCTGAGCATAATTGAATGGAAGATTAAGGCCTTCACAGGCTTTCTGAAATTAAAGGGATAATAATGAGGAGGTTAAACCCCATATTTAGGATTTGGAGAATAATGCCTCACAAAGCCTATTATTCACGGAAACATTTGTGTAATTGAAAATCCCTTTTTAGTTCAATTTTAACATTCCCCTCTCACGTTTGTAGCCAGGAGCCGAGGCACAGGAGCCACACCAAGTTCCTCTCCGTGGGACACAAAAAGGTGGTGGAAGGGTTGAGCTGAATTTCTCACCCCAAAATCCCAGTCTAAAGCAGGACGGAGCCGGTGGTACATCCCCCCTTTAGTGCTTGGTTTGGATCTGAGCATGTGGGGGTGAGCTGCCCCCCTGAAAGTCATCACTGGAGTTTAAAATATCCTTGTGGTGGTAAAAAACTACAAGTGTCACCCCTCTGAGGAAGGCAGCGCTCAAAATCGCCTCTCCATACCCACCTCCCCGGGTGGGATAGCAGGCTTTCCTCCTGCAGGAGAAGCCCAGAGGGGCAAGTGGGTCCTGGGGGCCAGACAAGCAGAGTCCAACCTATTTATTAATTTCCGAGTGCTGAGCGCGGCAGGGCAGCGATTTTTAAAGGAAATCTCCTTGTTTTCTCTCCGTCGTGGTGAGCAGCACATGCCTGACCTCTCCCCCCTTCCCTGCCCGGCCCATCACCACCCATCCATCTCCCGGTAATTGTCCTCCCTCCTGCCGAGCCGCCGGCTCCGCACGGACTCTCCTCTCAAGGTTATTTTCAGCTCTGCAGCGTCACCGGAACACACACGAGTTTGCAGCTCCAGTTTTGCAGCAGTTGGGGCTGCACCCTCTCCACTGCTCCCAACACCCAGCATCATCTCTTTAATCGGGGAAACACAAACAAATCCTGGCCGCTCTCCCTCGCTCTTCCTCCCCGCCACGGCATTTGCATCCGCGGGTTGCAATTAAAGAAATTCAGCTTTTCAGGAAAACTTCTGCAGTTTTTTTTTTTGTAGAAATCTTTACCGTGAACATGCAGTCCTGCAGGTAAGTCCAATGACAAGCTTTGCTGTGAGGGTGGGTGCTCGTCCGCTCCCTGCTTTAATTGTTGAAGTCAGCAGAGCTGCACCGTCCCCCAGCCGTGGACACCCACGTTCCCGAGGCTTTGCTCGTTCACTGCCTCTCCATGTTTACAGCAAAGTGCATTTATAGCACATTAACATCTCTGGGGGTGGTTAAAAGGTGATCACTAATGGAAATCTGCGCTCCTTCCACTCTGTCAAACCGGGCCGCGTTTGCCTCCTAATAAATTGGCGTCTCTGCTGAGAAGGCCCGTGTCTAACTGCCTGTGTGATAAAAAGACCAATTGCTGACATTTTCCGCTGTTTTCCCTTCCTTTGACATTTCATTAAGAGGAAAATAACACCAGCAACTACAAATGTGCTCTCATTGACATTTGTTGGCCGTAACGTGGCGAGTTGCCCTGATTAGGAGAGGAGTTGAGGAGTGGGACGTTCCCTGCAGGATCACAGAACTCCCCCGAGTCCTCCCACAGCCCTGCAGAGTCTCAGAGGATCCTGAGCCTCTCCCCTCATCAGCTGCCCAGCTCAGGAATCACCTCAGCTCACCCCACTGCCATGAGGCTGAGCTGTAACCAACCCAGAACTCAGACCCTGTCAGTAAATCTAATTTATAGGCATGCTTAGGACTTCAATTACCACAGTCATTAACAATTTGTTAATGAGTCAATTAACATGCTTTGGGGATCTGTGGAGAAAGGGCATTATAAATATGATAGCATCAAATATTGCAGAAATAAGCATCTGGCTGCCCCAGGACTGGGCCAGGAGCTGCTGCTGGTTGCAGGGTGTGTGTTCCCTGCCCTGTCACAGGAGTCGTGGTGTCACCTGTGCAAGGGGCTCTCTGGTGATGGGATCAGCTCCAGCATCACCCTGATGCCAGGATGCCCAGTTTAGGAAGCAGCACGAGGCTGGAGGTGGGAAACAAAGTTTGACAGGAAACACTCATTTTCCCTGCAGCCAGGTGGGTGCTGTGAACCCCAGTGTGGGGCTGTGCTGCTGTCCTGGGGTTTTTCCCATACAAACCCCAGCTGCTCCCCACCCTGTACAGCCCCACACACACAGAGGGGCAGCTGGTGGGCCCAAATGAACACATTGAGTACCATCCCTGGTGCTAAAACCATCCTCTCCTGCTCCCATCCCACCACATCCCAAAGTTTCTGGTTTTTGTGAGCTCTCTCGTAGCACACTCGTGTTTCTCTCCCACCCCAGAGTCCAGCTGCTTTGGCCTGGATCACGGGCACAGCCAGGCTGTGCAGGCTGAGCTGATGGAAAACAGGCCCAGGGCAACGAGCAGGAGCAACTTAATTACAATCAAAGCCCATCAGCCTGGTCAGCGTGTCCCATCAGCTGCAGGGACGGGGCAGGACTGAGCTGAACGTGCAGCAGGGACGCTGGGGCTGGGGTGGCCAGCACAGCACCACCTGCACAGCATCCTGCTCCCCAGGGATGCTCAGTGCCAGACCCTACAGAGGGTGGGGCAGATCATCTCCTAATCCGTAGCAATTAAAGCCTGGCTTAAACTTGAAAGCGTAAGATTTAACGTCTCTTAAAATTTCATATATTAATTAGCCCAGCTCTGCAGACTCTTGGGTACCAAGAAGTAAATCTCACTCTTCTTGGGAGACCTACACGTTTTTTTTGGTCTGAACAGTATCCTGTTCAGAGGAAATCCCACAGCACAGCTGCTCTCTATGGCCAGCACCAGACTCCAAAAATCTGACGCCAAAGGAGCTCTCGCGTTTTGCCCTGGCAGCAAATCGTAAATGAGGCAGGAGCTCATGAGGAAAACAACCTCCCTCCCTGCTCTGCTGCTGGTGGAGGCAGGAGGTGCCTTGTACACCCTGTCACTGAGCCACAGCCCCTTCCTCGGAGGGAAGAAAGGCTTTTGTGACCAAGAGGGAACCGAACCGAGGAGCTGAGTGTGACGGGAGGGACGAGGGATGGAAAATCCACATCAGCACTGCTGCCGTCCAGGGAAATTAGAAGCTGTGCTTGTTCCCAGTGTGTGTTTGCGGTTTGTTTCCCTGCAGACTCGCTTTCCCTCCCTCTGCAAACACAGTCTGCACACCCAGCACGCTGTTCCCGGCTCTCCAGGGGACTGCCCAGCCCAGCCTGGGCTGAGCTGACCTGAAGGGGCTGAGTGTGCCCTGGGATGCTGGGAAGCAATCCCGACCCAGCAGGCAGCAGCTGAGGGAGCAGATATCCTGGGCATCCCTTCCAGCTCCACCTCACCTGTAGCTGAGAGTGAAAGTTCCCTTGTGCTGATTGGAATTAATTTTCCAATTAATTGGAAAAAACAAAGGGTACTCTTCGAGGAGTTTAGTCATTTATTTGGGTTAATTCTGCTTTTTTATCACAAGCAATTCAACCCTCATCTAAGGCTTGTGTTAAACTGGATTAGCTTTACTGACGGTGCTGGAGCTTCCAGATTGACACCAGCATAACTTCTTACATAATGCAGCCAAGATAAAAATACAGCAGGTTAAAATATCAGCTGTTAGAGGAAATAACTGGAGCACCCACACATTTAATGCATTCTGAAGAAACGGGGAGAGAAATCATGGTACTGTAACCCACAGTGTTCTGGGCACCTTTTATCAGAGGGTATCAAAGCACGTTCCTAATCATTACTTATTTAAGCCTTGTCACATGCTGGTCACAGAGAGGACAATCCTGGAGCAGGGCAAGAACCCTGGAAGCATCAGCAGAGACAAAGAAATACTTAAACCAAAGAGGTTTCCAGTGGGAAATGCTGTTTCAGGGCGATTGAAACATTTGGGCAGAGCGTTTTGGTGTCGAGGAAGTTTTTGGCAGGACAGTTTCGAAGCAATTCAGCACCAAAATGGGACCTGGTGGGAGAGGGGCTGGGGGGTTTATTTCAGTGCAAGTTTTACTGTGTCATGTGTAAATAGTTGTAAATAGTTGTGGCTGACCTTTGCTATAAATGTTCCTTCTCAGTCTGGTGTTTCTGAGCCTGGTCCAAGTATTTAATTCCAGAAACTGCGGGAAGTTGCTGCGAGTTTTCGACTCGATCTGGGTAAAATAAACATCCTTTGCAGTACCAGGCTGCCCCTTGCAGCTTCAGTAAATGCTCCTCACTCAACCTTCCTCAGCTTCTGT